TCTCCTTCGTTCTGACCTCAGCATTTGTACACAGCAAGGATGATCATTAGGAGTGGAGACAAGGAGACTGAGAGGGTGGGAAAGGGAAAGAGAAGAAAGAGATGAAGGGAGGGAAGGAAGGAAAGATGGGAAAGGCATATTTTCTCCACCTTCCACATCTCAGCAACATTCATTAGTAGGTCAGGGCAAGTGATCAGTATACAAGCAGATTTCTTGCATATGTATTAGGAACAAATTAAAGCAGCAGCTCTACAGGCTCCAGAATAAATTAAGAGCAGTACACAGCCCAGTAACTGCTTGCGTGTGCATTATGCATATATTTCCCTCCCTGCATATACAAAAACCCAAGCTGCACGTGTTAACTGTTAGGAGAGGCGATATCCAGTATTTGTGATGGCATTGTGTGTGTGTGTTTAATTTTAAAATGGTATTTAAGGTTCTTTTAGGAGAGTGGGGCCAACTATTTAATATTGTTCATCAAAGAATTGCAAGTAAACGCCCTGATACAGAAAAGCAAACCCTGCTTCCCCTGCTTCTGGAACATGGCCATACAGCCTAGAAAACACACAACAACCCCGTGATTCCAGCCATGAAAGCCTTCGACAATAAACCGAGGTATAGTTAGTGAAGGAAGAATTCCGCTTCCTCCCCATTAAATTTTCCTTCGATCCACACATTTCTAATTTAGAAATACAGCTTAGGCATTTGGAGAAAAGAGGACAGACAAGGTTGCAAAGGGATTGTAAACAAAACTCATGCTATTGATGCTCTCGTCTTGACGGCTCTTTGGGCCCTTGTTAGAAAAGGGGAACGTCCTGTTCTTTTTTGGATCAGGGCTGTCATTTTGAGCAAGAGTTGACTGGATATCCCTGACAGTATTCTAAACCTAGTTTACATGGCGACAGAAGAACTAGCATTAAAGCTACAGACCACAGAGGTTTAGGCTGCATAGCGCTGTTCGAAATATCTGTTGTTGGTTTCTCAAAGTGCAAGAAGCAAACGTAAGAGCAGCGATATTTTCTAACACACTGCCTATTTGAGGTAAGCCACATATATCTATATATATATATATATTAAAGTGACGGGATCGAGAGATGCTCAGGCATTGGGCTGGGGCATGATTTCCAACCTCTACAAACCCAAAGAAGTGGCAAAACGGTATCCGAAGAGGTTAGCAGAATTACGCTATTTGTGGTTCTTCCAACCTAGGTCAATACCAGAACTTGGCAAGTTATTTCAGGACATAATGGTGGACCCTATCCCTGAAAAAATAAGCAACGAGGACTATCTTTTACTAGCTGCTTCTTGACGGGAAAAACCATTTATGAAAGTTGGGAAATAATCTAGAATTAGAACTCCCTCAGATATCCCAAGGAAATAATCTTTTTCTCAAAAGGACTGCTGTTGTGGACTCTTGACCTCTAAAATATTGTATTATAAATAAAAACTTCAGCTGTGTTACTTCCAAACTCTGGTTTTGGACAGTATAATATACTAAAGAGACACCCTTTCTCCCCCATGGATTGGAGTCTGGATTTTCTTTTGGACTACAATTTCCGACCTCTTACACTGCATGGGAGATTCTGGGAGCTATAGTTCAAGCGTAGGGTTGCCAAAGTGAAAACTACAAAATGTTCCTACACTTTTAGTGGCTTTATAGTAGAGGTTTCCCCTGACCAAATCCCAGAGTATACCAAGGGCCAACTATATATCAAGGGTGGGCAATATTGTTAACAATGGCACCCATTCTCCTTTGTTGTTGGATATACAGACTATGGAATTTCAGTCTTCCTATCTCCATAGACATTATGATTTCAGTCTTAATCCCATTTGGATGCAATTAGGTGTTGAATTGAGTGGAACTTATATCTGAGTGGACATACATAGGTAAAGGTATTCCCCTGACATTAAGCTCAGTCATGTCTGACTCTGGGGGTGGTGCTCATCTCCATTTCTAAGCCAAAGAGCCGGCATTGTTCGTAGACACCTCCAAGGTCATGTGGCCAGCATGACTGCATGGAGTGCCATTATCTTCCCACAGAAGTGGTACCTATTTGCATGTTTTCAAACTGCTAGGTTGGCAGAAGCTGGGGCTAACTGTGGGAGCTCACCCCGCTCCCCAGCTTCGAACCACAGCAAATTCAGCAGTTCTGTGGTTTAACTTACTGCACTACCAGGGGACCCCTAGTGGCTTTATAGATGTAGGAATTTCAACAAGTGTTCCTTGCTACCTGGGTGAAATCCTATTCAGGGTATGAGAACTCCCTCCAGTTTTCACTCTGGCAATCCTATTAAAAGTCAGTTGTTTTCCAAGCTCTTAGTCTGGATGTATGCCTTCCACTGCTATCAGCCCAAACACCTGCCATCCTTGTCTTCACCCCATCCCTAGAAGCCTGGGAGACCAGCAATCCTTATAGTCATATTTGCTCGCCTCTCTTGCTTGAGCCGATCCCTGGGTAAAGAAAAAGATGGAAGAGGAAGCAGGATCCTTCGGTCTTTGTAGATAAAACAAACATAAGTAGTAAAGAGCATGACCCCAAACAAAGGACCTTGTTACTCCACATCTACCTTCTCAAATGGCAGCAGCACAAACCCTCCCATGGACATCCAGTGCACCCCAGATCCTTGCTATATTTCTTTCTATAGTCCTTAGGAGGGGAAAACACATAATTAGAGCTCCACATTTGTAGGTTTTACTTTTGTGGATTTGCTTTATTAATTGATTTATTTAATAGGGTCACTCTTGGAATCCCTAGGTCCTCTAATGCGACTGTATGCTCAACTTCTGCTGGAGACTGACCATAATGTCATGCTGGAGGACCTAGATCATCTCTCTAGCAACCTCTATGTGCTCCAAAAGAACTCTGTGGTCAACTTCCTGCAGATGTTGACCATTGAATCACACTGGGGGACCTTTGTATTTTTCTCATTTTCACAGGAATCTGGAACCCCTATCCCAGAGAAATATGGAGAGCTGACTGTAGTCCTCTACATATTGTTTGACTCCAACTCCCATGATCTGCCAACTCTGACAAGTCAACCAGGGATGAAGGGAATTAGAATTCACAGTTTCTGAGCTATTCCTCAGTCATGCCATCAGCACATACAAGCCTTGCTTATGCTCTGCCCAACTCCATAAGGCCAGGTGTCCCCAACCTCTTGTTATTGGGATACGTTTGACTGTAATTCCCATCATGACCCAGCCAGCAAAGCCATTGGAGCAACTCAACCTACATCTCAGAAGGTCATTGGCACCAAAAGGTCCATGTCTCAAAATAGTTTTTAAAGCCCGAAGCTCGTAAGGACACCTTTGTTCTAGAGCAGTGGTTCTCAACCTGGGGTCCCCAGATGTTTTTGGCCTTCAACTCCCAGAAATCCTAACAACTAGTAAACTGGCTGGGATTTCTGGGAGTTGTAGGCCAAAACACCTGGGGACACACAGGTTGAGAACCACTGTTCTAGAGCAATGGTTTCCAAACTATGGTATCCAGATGTTTTAGACTTCAACACCCAGACTTCTTGGCCAGGTCAACTAGGATTTCTAGGAGTTGGTCTCCAAAACACATGGTGGATTGACATTTGGGCTATTCTAGAGGAAGTCAGCTGGCCACTGTTGGCTGGTAGGCACTCGACTATGTTGATCTGATCTACCTGTATCATTTCAATATTTCAGAAGAAACAAAATCATACCCTTACAAGATACTGTGTGACGTATCCAGGCTGGCCAATTCACCAATGTGGCTGCCATCTTAGATACATCACTTTATAATCTGGACTTTTAGAATATTGCTTTTTGGATAATGGCTATGCTGGCTGGGGGGATTCTGGGAGTTTCCATTGCCCAAAGTAACTTTTCCAAGATCCGTTTCATAAAAAAGAAGTGTGGAAAGTTCTGAGGAGTGGGGCATTTACCACACTGGTCTGCTGGCTTAACATCTGTTAAAGAGAGACAGACAATATGTATAGAGTAAACATCATTTCATATAGAGACACATGTTCTATTACAGTATTAGATCATTTTAATTGCTTTGTTAGCCCCCACATGGTGGGGAGGAAAAAAAATAAAGATATCCCCCAAAATCAAACCCCTCCCAAAAGAAAAAAAAATCCAGTTACATTCATCCAGTGTGTTTCTAGAAAGCCAGATTAGAGGTCACTGATGTGACCGAGAGAGAGGATTGATCCCACCTCCTTTTAATACATCTCCAGCTGGCTAAAACGAAGCCAGAGAAGGATCAAGACAAAACATTCCCTTCCTTCCCTAAAAAGTCAGTGGTTACCACCCTATAGAAGAGAGGGCAGAGCCAAATATAGGTCAAACAGGAAGGTGGAAAATGCGCAACATCAATTATTTTAGGCGCTTATAAGGAAGGAGGAAAGAGAGAAAGTGGTAGTGTTTCAGAAGCTACTTCATATGTCCAATTCTGAACTTCAGAGACCTTCTATTATTTATGTCAGTGTGAGGAACTGATAAACTCTGAGATGATGCTGTCCTCCAATTCTCATCAGGGAGGACAGAAGTGGTAGCCCAGCAACATCTTAGGGAGGCGCACACCAACTGTTTTACAGGTGTACACAGAAGTACACACCTCTTCTGAGTAAATAATTGTACGAGCAAGGATCAGCAAAGGAAGCCTTGTGGTTCCCATCCTTCTGTCTTTGCCAAATGTGGCAAAATGTGAGGGCATTGTTGGCTTCGTCTTCCAAGGAAGTGGACCAAAGGATTTCTATTCCACACAAAAGGGGTGTCTGGCTCAGCTTGAAGGCAGAAGAGAGGGTCACTTGAGATCAGTGGGACGGGGGAAAAGATGATCATTAAAGTGACAAGGGCTATTACTATTGGCCCCAGGAAAGGTCAGTGTTGCTCATGCGCAATCAGGTCCATATGACCATTCACCACCAAGTTTTGAAACAAGAATGACGTTAGGGTAGTGGTTCTCAACCTGTGGTTCCCCAGATGTTTTGGCCTTCAACTCCCAGAAATCCTAACCGCTGGTAAATGTGCTGGGATTTCTGGGAGTTGAAGGCCAAAACACCTGGGGAACCACAGGTTGAGAACCACTGTGTTATGGGAATGTCCCTCAATCTGCCACCTATCTGGATATGTATTAGGCTGGCAAGGGTTGTATCTGGATAGGTGGCAGGTTGGAGAAGTGCCCATGCTGCCTGGGAATGATTTCGGGAACAGTCCAATATGTCTGTAGGGCACGAGGCTGGGGATGTCAGTTTAAAGACCATTTTAGTATTGTCCTATGGAGTCTATAGGGCAGGCATGGTAAAACTTTTTTCCTTGAGGCCGCATTGCAGGCCCAGCCAGGAGGGCCGGGCCAGGAGGGAGGGGGGCCGGGCACATGCTGGGTGGGAGAGGCCCAGGAAAGGGCAGGGCAAGGGTCATCCTCAGGTTGTTCTCCTGGCATAAGGACGGGGCTGCTCATCCCATCCTTACGCTGGGAAAAAGGCAAGACACACAACAACTGCCTCGATCCTCCTCCCCCAATCCTTGGGCTGTCTTCTTGGCATTATGCCAGGAGGAGGGTAAGATAGGCAGTGGTTCAGACTGCTCTGGAGGGCTCTCAGCTTCTGTGTGCTTTCTTCTCTTGCCTTTTTGGAATGAGGCATGGGCCACCATGTCCTTATGTCGATAGGACATGGTGGTAAGCGCCCAGGGGGCTGCATCCGGCCCCCAGGCTTCAGTTTGCCCATGCCTGCTACCGGGGCTGGGGCAAAGCTGCTGGCAGTCCCTAGAGCAAGAGCCACTGAGAATAAATTGGAAAAGTAGATTAAAAAGAACTTCCAAGCAACATTTCCAAGAAGCTAGGTCAGTGGGATGGCCAGAGGTGCTATTCCTTGTCAGAAAATGGTGGTGTATGGAGGAATATCACCTTTCTATCCACCAAACTAACAAAAAGGGGACCCCCCTAGGGTCAAATTGCTCATTCTTGATGGGAAATGTAGACCAGACCTGAAAAATTAGGCCAATGGGGTGGGGGAAAAGTCACCCTTCAAACCTTTGCATAACTAGGATAGCAGCAGAGGATCATGGGAGAGTGGCCACTGATTGTGGCTCACAGAGGGGATCTGAAGGGCTGAAAAGAGTTTTCCAGTAAGACTGGAGGAGGCCACTGCATTTGAGAAACCATTCTTCCTCTCCCCATCCTGCCTTTCCTTGTCATTTTATGCCCTTCCTTGAAACAAGAAGAGTGAATGCATGTCAGACCAGATCTGCTACATGTTCCTGCAGGGGGAGGTGGGTCTGGATCTAGCTCAGAACTTTGTCACCTTCACTGGGCTGATCCCTGTGATGAGGTTGGCCACCCCATGGTGGATTTGTCCCTGGATGGGGCCGTACTCCACCCTCTCGCCATCCACTGTGATGATGCCCTTGTGGGTGAGGGGTTCGATGCGGAAGGCCCGAACTGGGATGTTGGTGACGTGGGGGCAGCCTTGCTCGAAGTGAGTGCCTTTCTCCATGGCCAAGAAGAGGCGGATCAGGGCTGCTCGGGAAATGCCCGCCTTGACGTAGGCCAGGTGAATGAGCCCGTCATTGAAGCAGGCAAAGGGAGCCGCATAGAGGTCAGCCCCCAAGTGAGTCTGGTAGATAGCCAACACCAGCACAAAATCATCCTCCACCGTCACCCAAGATTTGGGCACCGGCTGGTCAAGGGGGGCCAAGAAGTTGTCTGGGGGGCCACGCATTTGCCGGGTGGAAGAGGGCAAGGAGGTGGGGGCTGCCACCTCCTGGGCTCCCAGGCCGTCAGCTACCAGCTGCTCCGACAAGGTCTCAAAGCTGAAGGCGGAGGTAGGGAAGCCAGAAGAAGGAGGTGGAGAATTAGGCGAAGGGGCCGGCTCATCAGCAGACTCCAGCCCCCGGTAGCAGAAGGTGCGGCGCTCCTCGCAGAGCCCCATGTCAGAGACCGTGCGGTGGAGAGGCATCCTCTGGAAGGGGAGGCTCCCATTGGCTGCCATTGTGATGCTGCGCAAAATAGGACGGTGACCTGTGGAGTCCGGGGCGGGAAGATATGAGAGGCGTCCCCGGTAGGTGTTCAGAGAGGCCAGTCGGACCATAGTCCCCAAGGTGAAGCGGGCCGATCCCATGTGGCGGTACTTCTCACTCTCAATATCCACGTCGGAGATGAAGCCCCAGGCCACGCTGAGGAAGGAGAAGGAGCGGGAGCCTGAGGAGGTGGTGATGGAGACCAGGTCCAAGGGGGACACTGCCCCGTGGCAAAGCAGGAGGGTGCAATTCGTCAATAGTTCCTGGCCCAAGGTCTGCTCAAACCTGCACGAGAGATAAAAGAAAGGCATCAGGGTTTTGGAAGCTAGTTATTCTGTCCTAAAGGGCACAGAGGGCTGTGGAGCCAGCCAAGCAGACAGAACACACATTCTATTACTTATTATTTATTTACAGTATTTATATTCCGCCCTTCTCACCCCGCATGGGACTCAGGGTGGATTTCAATGTACATATACATGGCAAACATTCAATACCATAGACACACAACATATATAGACAGACACACAGAGGCTATTTAACATTCCAGCTTTTCATGAGGGTATTCTGGCCACCAGGGGAGCTGTTGCTTCACCGTCCATTCGTGACACTGATGAAGTTCTTCCTCATTCTTTGCATGCTTGCTGGAGATTTTTATGGCATTGTAAATTAGCCTCCCCGCATAAGCGGCACCTACATTTCCTACCTGACAGATGCAACTGTCTTTCGGGCTGCAAAGATTGACAGCTAGCTACACAAATTGGTCGGAAGCTCACTCCGACCGGGCTGGCTTTGAACTCATGACCTTTTGGTCAGTAGTGATCTTAATGCAGCTGTCTCCCAGCCAGCTGTGCCACAATCCCGGTGCTTTCTAGGATGCAACATCTGTAGCCCCTGATCTATTCTATGTAGAGTGGAAAATCAGGAGACATCAGAGAGTTATCTGACTATTTCCTTGTAACTAGACATGAAATTGATGTGTGAGTATGGAGCATAGCCAGATGCTTCTCCTGTTTTTCCCTGTTTTCCACAGGGCATGAAATGGCTCAGGCAGGGGCTTTCCTAACTCTACAGTAATTACCATATATACTTGAGTATAAGCCAACCCGAGTATAAGCCGAGGCACCTAATTTTAACACAAAAAACTGGGAAAATGTATTGACTCGAGTATAAGCCGAGGGTGGGAAATGCAGCAGCGACTAGTAAATTTCAAAATAAGAATAGATACCAATAAAATTACATTAATTCAGACATCAATAGATTAAATGTTTTTGAATATTTACATAAAACTGTAATTTAAGATAAGATTGTCCAACTCTGATTGAACCATTATTCTAACCTTCTTCAAGGTTAGAATATGTATCCTTCCAATAATAATAGAGTAAAATAATAAATGTAATAAAATAATAAAAATAGAGTAAAATAACGCAAATGTAATAATAACATGAATAATAAATGTAATAAATGTAATAAATAAATATAATAATAAGAGTAAAATAATAAATGAAATAACAGTAAAATAATAATAAATAATAAATGTAATAATAATAGCGTAAAATAATGTAAATGTAATAATAATAATAATAATAATAATAATAGAAAGCTGACATGATATGAGGATTTAAAGATCGAATTGCAAAGACTCTGGCACAAGCCAGTCAAGGTGGTCCCAGTGGTGATCGCCATACTGGGTGCAGTGCCTAAAGACCTTGGCCTGCACTTAAACACAATAGGCACTAACAAAATTACCATCTGTCAGCTGCAAAAGGCCACCCTACTGCGATCTGCATGCATTATTAGGCAATACATCACACAGTCCTAGACACTTCGGAAGTGTCCGATGTGTGATCCATTACAACAGCCAGCATAGTGATCTTGTTCGCTGTGTGCTAATTTTGTTGTGTTTCTAATAATAATAATAATAATAATAATAATAATAATAATAATAATGACGTGTGATCCAATTCAACAGCCAGCAGAGTGTCTGCTGTGGCCTCATCTTTTTGTGTTTCAAATAATAATAATGATAATCAATAGAGTAAAATAATAAATGTAATAAAAATAACAATAGCAGAGTAAAATGATAAATAACCTTGACTCGAGTATAATCCAAGGGGGGGCTTTTTCAACTTAAAAAAAGGGCTGAAAAACTCAAAAAAGGGCTGAAAAACTCATCTTATACTCGAGTATATACAGTATATCTGACGGAATCCCCAGACGGCATGGTCATGGGGGGAGGGGGGGGGGATTCTGGAAAATATAATTAAAAATGTAAGTTTTCTAAGCTTTGACACACAAACCCATGGTTACTGCAAAATAAGACGGATGATGCATGATAATGTGGTGTATTGGTCAGATCGCTTGACCATAAAACTCACTTAACTCTAACCTGTTCCACAGGATTTTTACAAAGGTGAGGTGTGAAGAAATGGCAGGATACCTATTTAATAAATTATCTTAATGATGATGGATGATTGTTATCTTACCATATGCAGTGGACCAAAACAAAGTTGTTCAGGAAATTATGGCTGTTTTACAGGCAAACAGGCAATCTACTTTGAAGACTCACACTTTTGTCTGAATTCTAGATATATGTGTACTAGCCACCCTTGTTAAGGAGGAACTCTGAGCAAGCTCAATACTACAGTTGTGTACCAGATCTCCACATAGAATAGATTATTGACCCTCCTTATGCCTTGGGATTGCCACATGGGATACCACACTCGCTTCCCAGAGGAAAAGAGATGCCAAGCTTTTTAATACAGTATTACCCAGCATTAAAGTTAACTGCTGCAGCGACTGCGTTTCCAGACCCACAGGGGAGAATCCCAAGGGGCATTTTTATGGCTTCTTCCCAGTCTGGACGCTCCATCAAACCATTAATGACCTGGAAGGAAAGAAGAAACAGGTAAAAGTTCAATACTTGTAGATATTTATCTGAACTTGGAAAAGGCACGTTTTAGGGTTGTGACTCCCAGAATTTGCCAACTAGTACGGCTGTGCTGGTTGGCAGATTCTGTTTGTGGACCTAATACCACGGTGGTCCACGCTCTGGTTACATCCTGTATAGACTACTGCCATGCGCTCTATGTGAGGGTGCCTTTGAAGACTGTCCGGAAGCTTCGAATGGTTCGGCGTGCAGCAGCCAGGTTACTAACGGGAGCTGCGCTCAGGGAGCATACTACTCCACTGTTGCGCCAGCTCCACTGGCTGCCAGTTTGCTACCGGGCACAATTCAAAGTGCTGGCTTTGGCCTATAAAGCCCTAAACGGTTCTGGCCCAGCTTATCTATACGAACGTATCTCTCCCTATCAACCTTCTAGGAATTTGAGATCGTCTGAGGAGGCCCTGCTCTCGATCCCGCCTGCCTCACAGGGGCGCTTGGCAGGGACGAGACACAGGCCTTCTCAGTGGTGGCCCCTTGGCTGTGGAACTCCCTTCCCAGGGATATTAGATTGGCCCCCTCTCTCCTAACCTTTTGAAAATGAGTGAAAACCTGGCTCTTTGAGCAAGCATTTGGAGATGCAGAGTGACCAGTTAACACAAAATCATAATACGAACATGGAACGGCTAAGACTATGTAAGCAGATGAGGAATTTGGACTGGCAGACTTTGGTTTTTATTGATTTTTATAGTTTTATAGTTTTTAAGGGATTTTATATGTATTTATGATGTATTTTAATTGTCTTTATTGATATATGTATTTCTATATGGCATCTAATTGTTGCCGATCTGTACGATCCCGAGTCGCCTTCGGACTGAAATGGGCAGGATAAAAATATAAATAAAAAAGAAATAAATACTAAGGTTTTCAAGAGTTGGGGAAACAAAGGGCAGTTGAAGGATTGGAGTGGGAAAATTAGCATCTTTTTTAGAGCTGAACCCTGAATTTCTCTCCAAGAGGACTGAAAATGTGACAACTTACTTTTGGAAACTTCCATTATGGATCAAGTTTTAGTCGGTGTGCAGTAAGACTCACTCCAAGCCCTTCCAACATAGGTTCAATGATCATGGAGCGCCATCACTTTCCCATGGAGTGGTACCTATTGATCTACTCATATCTGCATGTTTTCAAACTGCAAGGTTGGCAGAAGCTAGGGCTAACAGCGGGAGCTCACCCTGCTCCCCAGATTCGAACCACCAACCTTTCGGCCAGCAGCTCAGTGATTTAACCCGCTGTGCCACCAGGGGCTCCAGAATATACCCACCATTAAAGAGACCAAAATCTTTAATTTATGGAAAAGGAACATTACGAAATTCGTTTGGGAAGGGAAAAAAGCTAGAATTGAGTACAGGAACTTAATTGATGCCGATGAGAGGTGGACTCAATTTACCAGACTTAAAAATCTACTACAAAGTCGCTTGGATGAGCTGGCTTAGGGCAGGCCCTCATTTGAACCCCACACACAGTTTTTAATTCTATGTGATATACAAAGGTTCAGCTGGAGACATGATTCTGAGAGGGGCATGAGTCTTACATGCCCCAGTTCTGAGAGACCAGGCCAGAAGAAGTTAACCAATGGTATTTCAAAGCTTATGGGACCATTGTCCATGACTGACTTTCTTAACCAGTACCTCATAAAGCAGTCCATCTCCTGAAATGGCTACAATGCCATCCCATTCAGCCAAACTGATGCTCTGTACCAGTTCCCGGGCATGGTTCTGCCTCTCTGGGGTAAAGAAAATACAAAGAGAATAACATGCAGGTGAACAACAATGCAATACTTCTTGAAATCCATACAACAATCGTTATCCTCATGCCTCAGATCATGAGGTAGAAGAACTGAAGCTGAGAGAAGGCTACTTTTGTCTCAGATTGTCTGGAAACTTCAATACATATGGGACTGCAGGATGCTAGATTTTGTTATAACTTCCACATTGTTTAGCAGTTCCTGTTTTCAAATATTATGGCTACATTTTCTGTTTGGGTTTCACCGAAAAAATAAGAATAGCTGAGTTGCTCCAAAGACCAATGTGGTCAAAGAGCCAACAGCAATTAAGGAAGTCTATTCAGGAAGTCCCAGAATATAAACACGAAAAGAACCCACTAAAACCAATTTCTTAATTCCTGAAAAACTAGGATGTCTGGCTTGTTTTGAGATGCAAACTTGCCTCTGTTAGCACAAGCCACAGTCTGAAGCCATGCATTTTATTGGCTTAACAATTCTAGTTGGTTTAAAACAGTTTGCTGCTGTCAGAAATATTTAAAACTAACAAGGTATTTTTAATTACAAAAATGTGAGTCAAGTACTGAAAGGGTTAAATGGATACAATGACTCAGCAAAAGCTGCAGTTCAATGGAAGCAGGTGTGCCTGTTGCTTAGTAGGCCTCAGTCTGTGAGAGGTTTCTGTGGGAGAAGGACCTCAGTGTGTTAGTAGGCCTCAGTATGAGAAGGCCTCAGTGTTAGTTCCCCTCAGTGTGAGATGCCTCAGTGTGAGGTAAGCCTCTGTTAGTTTGCTTCAGTATGAGAAGGCCTCAGTGTTAGTTCCCCTCAGTGTGAGAGGCCTGTGTGAGGTAAGCCTCTGTTAGTTCCCCTCAGTGTGAGGTAGGCCTCAGTATGAGAAGGCCTCAGTGTTAGTTCCCTTCAGTGTGAGGTAGACCTCAGTGTTAGTTTGCCTGAGTGTGAGAGAGCCCTCAGTGTGAGGTAGGCCTCAGTATGAAAAGACCTCAGTGTAAGTTTGCCTCCGTGTATGAGAGGCGTCAATCTGAGAGAGCCCTCAGTGTGAGAAGGCCTCAGTGGGACAAACACCTCAATGTAAGGTAGGTCTCAATGTAAGTAAGCCTTGGTGTGAGTAGGCCTGATGTGAGAAACTTCAATGAGAGAAGCCCCAGGTTGAAGGTCATTGTGTGTGAAACATTAGTGTGAAGGCTGCTGTGTGTAAAGTTACTGTGTGAAGCTCCTAAGTAAGTTCAGTGTGAGAAGAGGCTCTGTGAGAGTGAAGCTGTTTATTTGCATGAGAAAGAAGCCCAGCATGGAAGCAAAGATGGAAGTGTAAAGAACTTAATTTGTGTTATGGAAGCCTTGTTCTTGTAAATAGTGCAATCATATTATTTTACTACAAAGAAAAGCCTCTTACGGAAGTGATAACATTGGTCTGTGTGTTTTTGTTCTCTTTATTACTTTGGACTACTGGTGCTGGGATGTGCTGCGGCTGATAAGTTACTCTGCTATACATTCATGGGGAGGTTTTTTTTTTGTTAATATGCCCACTTGCCCAAAAGCTACTACATCTAAATCCAGAACCATGGCTTTTCCCATGTTTCTGTCCTGCCTGCATTAAAACAGGACCTAACAAAAGGACCAGAAGAGAAAAAAAACAGGAATTGAGAAGTGAAGCCATGGTTAGATTAGTCATCTCCACTGCAGTACACAAAGCCATGGGTAATTCAATGCCACAAGGCATACTCCAGTGATGCCTTTCCAAGGCCACCTTCCTTCTGTCACAGTCTTACCTGTTTGGATCAAGTTGAAGCTGACATCGGCCTCTGTAATCATGGGCAGGATGTGATTCTGGCACCACTGGAGGGCATTGCCTTTGCCACCAAAGGGGTTTAGCAGAAGGAGCAAGCGACGAGGACGGGGCAGGAGGCTTCTGCTGATCTCTGTCAGGTGAGGAAAAGAAGCAAAGGAAGTAAAGAAGTGAGCAAAGAAGATTCTGGGCCCTTCTACACAGCCTTATATTCCAGAATAACAAGGTAGAAAATCCCACATTATCTGCTGTGAACTGGGTTATTTGTGTCCACACTCAGATAATGTGGGTTTTTCTGCCTTGATATTCTGGGATATAGGGCTGTGTGAAATCTCTGGAGCAGTCAGCAGCTGTATCTCCAGCTTGGTGCAAAACTGAATTATTTGTGCAGCAAAGCTTGAAAACATTACTTCTTTTTGTATGACAATTTCCAGAATCCTGGGATTTGTAGTCCATGAAATATGTTGGAGCTACTTTTAACTCAATTTTCTTCTGAGGTCCCCATTATGTGTCCCGTGCTACAGATTTGCACAGAAAGATTTGGCAAATCCTCCTCACCATGACACACACAAAGGGTCCATTTCTGAAGAGATTCCTTATGCAGCTTAAAGAGGCACCTGATGCTGGAAATAAAAACAGACAAGCCACTGTGAGAGTGAATGAAGTCACAGTTGCAGTAACTTGTGGCAGACACTCCTTCTGTTGTGGGTTGTGAAAACTGGGTTTGAGAACCCTTCCTTTAAATAAGAAGGGGGGACGACAATATGAGACCATAGAAATAAATGATTCATTATTCAAAAATGTGGGTGGACAGCATGAATAGGAATGAGAGGGGAAATATCACCCCTTTCCATCCTTATATAGGTGCTTCAACTTCCTACCCAGAATATAGGGAAATTATATATATTGTATAAGACTCAATTTCAGTACCACCAACAGAAAAGAGCACCTTGTTTTAAGCGATGTTTATATTTGGAGGGCCCTGTTAGTGCAGCAGGTTAAACCGCTGAGCCTTGTTGACTCAAAGGTTGGCGGTCTGAATTTATGTTGCAGAGTGAGCTCTCGATGTTAGGCCCAGCTTCTGCCAACCTAGCAGTTAAAAAACACGCAAATGTGAGTAGATCAATAGGTACCACCTTGGCGGGAAGGTAATGGCGCTCCCTGCAGTCATGCTGACCACATGATCTTGGAGGCATCTACGGACAATGCCGGTTCTTCATTTTAGAAATAGAGATGAGCAACACATCCCAGATTGAAGACGACTAGACTTAATTTCAGGGAAATCCTTTATCTTTTATTTATTTATTTATTTGGTGGGGGGGGGGGGGAATCAAAACCTGAGAGGGAAGCTAATAATAATGTTTAAATATTTAAAATGATGTCCCACTGAGGAGTGAGCAGGCTTGTTTTTTGTTGCCCTAGAGACCAGGACATGGAGCAATGGATTCAGGTGGCAGGAAAAAATATATATAAGTAAACATGAAGAAGAACATCTTGTTGGTTAGAATTGTTCAGCAGTGAAATACTATGCCTTGGAGAGTAGAGGAGTGTCCTCCTCTGGGTGTTTTTAAGCAATGGGGGGATGGCCATCTTTCAGGGGTGAACTGATTGTGTTTTCTTGCATGGCAGGGGGTTGGACTGGATGGCCTTTGTGGTCTCTTCCAACTCTATGATACCATGATTCATTCTGTCTATCTGTCTGTCTGTCTATACACACACACACACACACACACATTATAATACACACACACACACACACACACACAAATACACTACAAGTGAAAAATGTGTATGTGGCAGATGTGTCCACTTACATAGACAGCATCCCGCCTCCACACATAGACTATAGTTCCAAAGTCACACCCTCAACTGGCATTGCAGGTTATAGTGAGCGTCATGAACATGTAGCCCAAACCCTGCCAATGTCCTCCCCAAACACTACAGCCCACCATTCAAGGAATGCTTCCACTCGGGTAACATTTCATGCTAGATTTGACGTGTTTCCTCCACCACAGGCAGGCTTGTGTGGAATTTGCATGCCCATTTCCTCTCCCTTAACTCTTTCCTGCCCTTTCCTATGGCACACAGCAAGCACAGAGGAATTAATCAGAAACTGAACAGATTGGAGGGATTTGAGGGATTGACTCTACAGGATGGAAGTTGTAGTTCACCCTGCATCAAGGCAGAGCACTGTGACCCCCTTCGATAATGGACCTGGACCACATTTGGCACGCAGAACCCCCATGGCCAGGTTTGGGGGAATTTACCTTGATTTATAGGAGTTGTTGTACTTCACCTACATCTGGCTATTACCTAACACCCCAAAACAAACAATGCCTTTTTCAAATAATCCGGGTACCACTTGGTACCCAAGCTTTTATTCACACACACACAATTTTCCAGATGCTGGATTCAGGTATCAGGGGATAACATTTCCAAGCTCTGATCACACTAACTATTGCAGAAGCAGGGGGTCTGTAGGCTTTCACATACTGTTGGGAGTAATATTATTTCCCCCCACCCCAATGACTAACCACGAGGATGAAAATAAATGGGAGTTGGAATCCATCAGTATCTATAAGGCTGCAGGTTCCTGAACCCTGGAGATAAACATTCCCCTCACCCTCTTGCAAAGTCATCCCCAAAACAGGGACAGCTTGCACCACAGGGCGATGACTGAGAATTTCCATGCCACAAGCTTCCTGCTGCTGGCATTTCATAGGAATGATAAAAAAGATGCTCAGCACATCCTCCGCAAAGACGGAAGGAAGAGTCAATATCAAGCAAAGAGGCCACAGCCAGGGGCTCCCGATAACTGATGCCTTGCATTACAAACAACAGCTCATTCTTAGCTCATCTGAATTCACACATGCCCAGGGGGTTTAAATGGCTTTGCTCAAGACTCAAAGAGTCTTGAAAGATCTTTAGGGCGGCACTTTCAACAATGCTAGCCATAAATAACTACTTTTATCAAATAGTTGGTTTTTCCACTGAGAACATGACTGGATTGGCTACAGGGGAATTGCTATTTATTTTTTCCAAGTTAATTTTATGGACAGTTTATCTCATTTTGTTGTTATCTCAGTTAATTGTATAATTGGCACTGAATGTTTGCCCTATATGTGTTCTGTAATCCACCCTTGGGGAGATAGAATAGAATATAAATAAAGTATAAATAAAAGCATATTATTATCTACTAGCCATTCCCTGCCATGCGTTGATGTGGCCCAGTCTGTGTACATGTGGTTTTGCGCATGTGTTGTAATGTATTTTTTATTTTGGGGCTTTTTAAGTCTCCTTTGCTGTATTTTTATGAGTGATGGTCACTTGTTGGCCTGATAGGTGTATTGTGTCCAAATTTGGTGTCAATTCGTCCAGTGGTTTTTGAGTTATGTTAATCCCACAAATGAACACTACATTTTTATTTATAAAAATTGCAATAAGTTGCCCCCTTCATCCCAACTCTCATCCGTCCCCAATTCACAATACACTTTAAAAATACAGTTATGTCAAATTTATTTCAGTATCTCTTTGTCAATTGATCACTCGGGGGTTTAAATTTTCCATTGTTTTGACCCATATAATTGATTTACAGTTTCCATGTAATATCAAATTAATTTTATTTTTTCTTTTGCTACTCTTATCTTACATGTTAGCTTTGTTGATAGGGCTACAGGTCATATTTTGTTTAACCAATTCTTTATTGATCAATTATCTATCCCCTCCGCCCCCAAGTTTTGACTACAATAGAGTCTCACTTATCCAACTTTCGCTCCCCCAACGTTCTGTATTATCAAAAACACAGTCTGCTTCCCATCTGGATCTACAGCTGTTTCAGTACACTGTGATGTTTTGGTGCTAAATTTGTAAATACAGTAATTACTACATAATGTTACCATGCATTTAACTGCTTTTCTTGTCGATTTGTTGTAAAACATAATGTTTTGGTGCTTAATTCGGAAAATTATAACGTCATTTGACGTTTAATTGGCTTTTCCTTAATCCCTCCCTATTATCAAACATTTTTGCTTATCCAACGTTCTGCCAGCCCATTTACGTTGGATAAGCGAGACTACTGTATTTCGAGCCTCACTGCACATAACATAAGCAACACAAGGCCTTTACTTGATAAATCTTTGAGAATGAACAATCTGAAGTCTTCATTTGACTAATCTTTGCTTGAGAATGAGAACAAAGGTTACCAGGGAATGATGCTTAGGAGTGGCAGCATCCTTAGCATTTCATATATTTACTTACTTTTGTTTCATTACTTTAGTGCTTTTTCTCACTCAAGCCCATCACAGTTGTCACGAAGTACCATTAAACTCACACCCAGAGAAGAACCTGGGATATAATCACTCATTTATAAACAAACACAAAGTTCATGCAAGAATGGGTGGCGTAGTTCTCCCAGCCTTGGGATTTCTATTGTAATTCAGACAGAAACTGCACATTGAGCAGAACTGTGCATGGTTTAATGCAATATGTACCAGCTGGTTTTCATGAGAGCTAGAAACTTGCCATTCATGTTTAGGACCGAACTTCCTTAATTGTAATTAATAGAAACACCAATTACTGAGGTATTGATGTGCCATCCGATATTTAGGCTTGTGTAACTTGAAAAAAAAAACACGGTGCATTATTTAATTACATCTAACCTCCTCTTGCCAAAGTTTTCTCCTTTTTCTCAGGTTCTGTTTCCAAATTGTGGTATGATCACAATCCTGGATATGCCTTATACTAAGTTGTAATTAATGGATGGGTGTAAAAGCATGCACCAATTACTGGGCCACTGACTATAACGTCCAATGTTTAGACCAGTGGTTCCCAAAAGGTGTTCTGTGGAACTCTACGGTTCCACAAAAGCATTGAAGGGGTTCTACGAAAAATCTTTAAAATCTTTTTTAAAAGTTTGTGTCTGAGTATGAAGATCTTATTGTACCTCTACTTTAAAAACAAAATTTGAACCTGTGCCGCTGAATGACTACTGGGAGGACTGATAGACATATACCTGTCAGTAGCCTGAAAGGCTATCGGAACAATGCTCCCCTTCATATCGATCTATTGATAGAAATCAGACTTTTTAGTTACTGCCTACACCAAAAACACATTTAGGAAGAAGTTGGATGCTGC